TATATATATACACGTATATATATATACACGTATACATATATATACATGTATACGTATATATATACACGTATACACATATATATATATATACACGTATATATACGTGTATATACACGTATAATATACATGCGTATATATACACACGCGTATGTATGTACACGCGCTCGTGTATATATGCACACGCGCGCGTATATACATATATAATATACGTGTATACGTATATATATACGTGTATACGTATATATATATATATATACCTGTATATATACGTGTATACGTATATATATGTGTATATGTATATATATGTATGTATATATATACACGTATATATATAGGGCCTATATACTTATTAAGTCATGTATCATGTATAGGAACGTTGACGCCTGCAAGGCTCTGGTTATTATTATTATTATTATTATTATTATTAACATCATCATTATTTCAGCTATTACAAATAAAGAAAATATTAATTAATGTTTATGGTTGCTTTGACGCTGACCTTTCAAATGAATTTTAAGGAATGAGGCTCTCTCTTGCTCTCATAATGACAGTATACCCTATATTCTATTTAGATGTTTCAAATTGTGAATCGATTCGGCCTGTTCACATGGGCCCCCTTTAATACAGATTCCGTATATTGCAAAATGTGGGTGGGCGATCTAGTCCAAGCCTACGCAAAAGAAAGCAGTAAAGTTCTATTGAACTTGAATGTATATTAATAATATAGATATACTATACGACTATGTGTGTTTCATTCAATATAACACGATAAGAGCATTAGCGCTGTTTTTAAATTGGTGAGGGTTTATCAAGTAGTAGCATAATGTTAAAACTAATACAGGACAAAGGTTAAAACGGAATAGAAGTCTGTTCTTTCGTGTCTGTAAATTTCCCTTCTCTTTCGTGATGTTGATTTTGGTTATCGATGATCCAATGTATCGGTTTTTAAATGACTTATTGACTAATGACTAAATGAGATTATTTCCGAGTACATATCACTGTTTTCCTTACAGAGTAGCCCTTTCACTTCCATTATGCCTACGATATAATGTATGCACATAGCCCATTGCCAAAAACAAAATCAAAATTCTATTGACAATATATAATCATTGTAATAATGTATTATTCAAAGTTAATTGGAATCTAGTATTGCAACCGATATGCCACCTTAAGTCGGAGGGTATTTGGTTTGAATCTTTTGGAAGACAATACGAGTTTAACGTTTTTTCCGGTTAATAATTTAGCTTTAAGGTTTGAGCAAATTATCATTCTTCCCGCGTACTGTAAGAGAATGGAACGAGAATGAATCTGTTGTCCATGCACAGTCTCTTACTATTTTCAAGAGGGGAATAGGCCTACTAAGTTAAAATTCCGCCTACTTGCATCAATTTCCACCAAGTGCTCCAGTCTTAATTAAGTTTGCACTTTAACGGAAGAAGAAGAAGACGACACCTCTTATTTGCACCATTTCCCGTGTATAAATATCAAAATATTTAGTATGTCGAATGGAAGTCTTTCTATCTAAAATGATTGATTTGTTTGAGCAACCTTGATTAGTGAGAGTGTATCGTGTTTAATGCAGATATTGATAAGCCTACTGAATATTAAATCGAGAAAAAGAGACACGTGTCTTGACGTGTGTGTGTCGTGACTAGTTTTGACAGACTGTATGATAGGCCAATAGTTAACAACTGGTGTTTTTTTGCCTCGATTCGGTTATAACAGTCTATGTGACGAATGCTTCTGAATTGCTAATATGGGCTGGAAGATGGGCAAATCACAAGGATTTGTTAACTCAAGGTTCACTGTTCATTGGTGAACTATTAAATTATAGTGTGGATAGGGCTTTAGGTATGGCAATCCCTCAGCAAGGATCATAGTACACGTAACGGTTTTTTTTAATACCGTACCGTATGCTCGAATAAGCACCGCTCTCGAATAAGCGCCGCACCAAACGTGATTTCTTTTCGTTAAGCGCCGCTCTCGAATAAGCACCGCAGCGCTTAATTGAGAGTATTATGGTATTACCCTGTGTGTGTTGAAACAGGGTTTTAAATACAATACACAGTGTTAAAATGAATAAATAACGCAAGGAAGACACAAGCACTTCTTTATAAACGTTTGTTTACTATGATAAGACCTATGATAGGCCTATTGAACTATGGGAATACTGTACGTGCAATAGGTAACATGGGAACGTGCATATAATCGAATAAGCGCATCTCTCGAATAAGCGCTGCAACGGAAGCCTCCAACAATTGTATAAGCTTATTCGGGCATTTACGGTACTTTGCGATCGTTTTAGGTAACAGTTAAAACGCAGAAAAATAATCGAATTAACAAATGCATTCCAAGATTGATAAAATGCGTTTTGTGAAAGCAATCGAGAAAGGAAGTATGTACAATGTTTGGTTGAGATGATAAGTTGTGAATCAGTCGTAATTGCAATACCAGCTGTGAATGATAAATAAAAGAAGTAGTTTAAAAATGTGGGTGAGGTGTCAGAACAAAGATACAAGATCATGGTCATTGTGGAGGTAGACCTACATCAGTTGCAGTGCTTAATATGTCGTAGCGGTTGGCGCATCGGTTGTGGCTTGGACTCCCATTCTCGAGGTCGGGGGTTCGAAACTCACAGTGCAAATTGCTTGTGTCCTTGGGCAAGGCACTTTATATACGGTTGCCTCTCTCCACATAGGAGTACAAGTGGGTACCTGGTAGGTTCAAACACAACTGAGCTGAATACTAGCTGGAATAATAATAATTTAATTTAACAATTTAATTTGGGAGCTGACTATGTGACGGTTCCATACGTGTTATTATTATTATTATTTATATTATTATTATTATTACTATTATTATTATTATTATTATTTATATTATTTATATTATTTATATTATTTATATTATTATTATTTATATTATTATTATTATTTATATTATTATTATTATTACTATTATTATTATTATTATTATTATTATTTATATTATTATTATTATTATTACTATTATTATTATTATTATTATTTATATTATTATTATTACTATTATTATTATTATTATTATTTATATTATTATTATTATTACTATTATTATTATTATTATTATTATTATTATTACTATTATTATTATAACTCATTTTCATTCGATCGCTAAAAGTTAATGATTGAATGGACGCAGTAGTTAGTGCATAATCGTAGAGTTACTTTAAAAAGAAAGATTTTAAACATATTGTCGTCTGAATATATCATTCTCATGATTGCCTAAAAGACCATCTAAAAATGAGATTGTTTTGCCTCATCATGTAACTGTCCTTACAGTTCGCTCATTTGATCGCTAAAAGTTATGGATTGCATATAAGCGTAAATTTACTTTAACAGAAAGATGTTAAACCTAATGTCGTTCGAATATATCATTTTCACTAAGACCATCTAAAATGAGATTGTTTGCTACATCATGTAACTGTTCTTAGAGTAATTAGATTC